CGGAGAAGGGCTGCTGCTTCAAGCGCAGCTGAGAGGAAGGAGCCGGGAGCTTCCACCTCGGCTATGGTGGAGCTCTACCGGTAGGAGGAGGAGGGAGAAGGGGTTGAGGTAGGAGAGTGGTGAGGGACTTACCTGGCTATGGAGGRCTCCATCTTCATCATCTTGTGAGGCGCTGCATCTGGAAGGCCCGAGTAGGGGCAGTGTGGCACCAAGGAAGTTCGGGCAGAGTCTGGCTATGGTGGGACAGTGGGCAGCCACTTAGCTGCTACATGTAGACCAATGGAGGGCAGCACCATAGCTGTCCGGAGTGACAAGGTCTCATTAGTCTGCCATAGCCTAGACCTGTGAAGGAGGAAGAGGAAGGTGGCCATGGCTATGGTGGACCTCATATGGAAGCCTGAAGTAGAAGAGGGATTCGGACATTGATTCTGGTTCTGCTGTTCAATTTATTGTTGTTCTTTCATGAGTTGAATAAGAGAGGAAGAGATAAAGAGGAGGAGGTTGTTGAGCGAAGAAGAAGAGCTTTGTTTTGGTCTATGCCGAAGTACATCTTCTTCTTCTTCTCTAATTCTTCTTCTTCTTCTTTCCCTCTCTCTCCTTTCAAGTTCTTTCATTTCATTTTGCAATTGGATGGAGTTGAGCTCAAGTTCAATTATTTCTTTTGCATTTGGGCAGCATTGTACTTTCTGATGGTTGTGGACTTCAAAATTGGCCAGGATCGTAACAATTTGATAAATATTAGCAAGAGGATCCCTTAGAGACTGAAAAAAAGTAGATAGAAGATATGGAAACAGTTTTAACAAGTACGTCAGCAATCAATTTATCTTGTTTAAAAATTAAAACAAATATCTTTGTCGGATCGTGTAAACAGGATTTACAACCACACACTTCACAACCCCGGTTGGCTCGTCACCCCGGTTGGCTCGTCACCCCACTTGGCTCGTCACCCCGGTTGGCTCATCAGATTATCGAGTTCCACACCATAATAAAAAGGGAGGACTAGCTCAGTTGGTTGAGCATGTAAGTGGGTTACTAGTGGGCGTGGGTTTGACCAGGGTTTGGGTTTGGCGTGGGTTTGGCGTGGGTTTGTTATGGGTTTGCCGTGGGTGTGGGTTTGGCACGTGTTTGTGGGTGTGGGTTTGGCGTGGGTTTGGTGTGGGTTACAGAGGAGGTCGTGGGATCGATTCCCCATTCCCCCCTGTGGTATGCGCTTCGGATTCACCGGCTGAGAAAGTAGGTTTGTACCTCCTGGATTGTTGTGGAAGTTGCATCTGTGACTTTCTGGCCCGCGCCAGGTGTTAAGAGCTTGGGTACTGCTCTCCGCACAAAGGAGAGTTAGGTGGGTGAGGAACCATAACCTTAGGATAGCTTATGGCTTCAATTAGTGAGCGTAAGGGTAGCGCTTAGCTGGAGGACATACACATGAAGCACCATCCTTATACCCTGTACCTCAGACTCGGCTTAGACCCTGTATTCCGCGTAGGTAGTGCGAGGTACAATACCGAGAGAAAATGATAGCATAGTAAACATGCGGCTGTCCTCCATATGAGGAGAAGACAGGCCTGCATTTTTTACCCCCAGCTGGAGGACATACGCGTGAAGCACCATCCTTAGATCCTGTACCTCAGACTCGACTTAGATCCTGTATTCCGCATACGTAGTGCGAGGTACAATACTGAGAGAAAATGATAGCATAGTAAGCATGCAGCTGTCCTCCATATGAGGAGAAGACAGGCCTGCATTTTTTTTATTTTATTTTTTTTAAGATTTCTGTTCTCGTTGAGCTCATCTTAGGACACCTGCGTTATCTTCTAACAGATGTGCCGCCCCAGCCAAACTCCCCACCTGACAATGTCTTTCGCTTGGATCGGACAGGCCACGAGGGCCTGCATTTTTTACCCCCTAACCCCCCACCAACCCAAAAAAAAAAAAAAAAACAAGGCTAAGGGATTTAAAATTTAAATTCATGACCCTGGTTTGCTTGGACAAGGGTTAGGTACCTTACCTTGACATTTCAGATGAATGAAATTCGATGAATAACCTTGAAAAAAAAAACAGGTGAACAGTTTTTTTTCTAACTTTTATTTTTCCACCCACACTTTTCTGCCATCGTTCGTATCAAATTTGATGACGAAGACTATTTAGTATCTACTACTTAGTATTTACTATTCAGTTGAGTTACCCTCACCTACAACCCGAATGATTGTTGTGAGAATAAGTGGCAGTGTAGCACACTTGTTGTGTGAATAAGTAGCAGTGTAGCACACTTGTTGTGTGAATAAGTAGGACGCTTCCGACCGCAAAAGTGTACAGCACAGGAACGCAGCAGTTAATGGTGCAGTGTGGAAAAACTTGAGGCAGCACCCCACGAAAATCGTACTCTTCAAATTTCTTTTTTATCAACTTCTTCGAGTTTATAGAACAAGAAAAGTAATTTTCACTTCCACAAACTCCAAGAAGTTAGAAAAAGAAATCCAAAGAATACGCTACTGAGAAAGCGTCACAGTCACAGTCACAGTCACTCAAAATAACGTTTTACTTCACATAATGTTGTTGGGACATGAGCCTCCCCCCAGGTGCTAGCGGTGTCTGCTCGTATCAGCACCACTACCTTCTTAACCCGAAAAAAACGTACGTACCTTGGATACGAATACGTACGTATGTATGTTATAGAATGAGTTTTAGGTTACAACTTTTCAGAAGCCTGTAGTACCGCCATTGTTTTTATTTTTATCTCAAATTTGGTTGGGAATTTCGCCAAGACCCTCAGGCAAAAGTTGTTTGCATTGCAATGTTGAACAACATACCGTTTTTTTCGGATTGCGAAGTTGTTTCTAAATCGAAATTCTGAAAAAATCAGTTCAAAAAAATTTCCATCCTCGTTTTTATTTTTTTCTCGAATTTTCTCGTGAATTTCGATAAGACCCTCAGGCAAACGTTGTTTGTATTGCGTTGTTGTATAACATTTTATTTTTTTGATTGTTTTTGAAAAATAGAAGTTCCCAAAATTCGAATACAACATACGTACGTTACATTCGAAAGTACGTTCTATTCGGGGAGAAACAAGCGATTTCTGAAAACCCGATATCCAGAGGTAATTCGAATAGAACGTACGTACGTTTTTTTCGGGCTAAGAAGGTAGCACTGGTGGGGGTGTGTCTAAAAAAAAAAAAAAAAAAAAAAAAAACGTTGTTGGCCGTTCGAAAAAGCTTGGCGCGCAGCAAGGTTCGGCAGAACCGGGTGTACCTGTCTCTTATACACATCTAGATGTGTATAAGAGACAGATACTAATGTGTGCACAACGTTGAAGAGTGACTTGGAATATTGGCAAGGTGTTTGGAAAAAGACTGACTGGTGACGCTTCTCAAAAAGCAACGCCAGCTACATCATCGGTGAAGGGATACGTGGATGATGATCGACGAGGTTGCGAGAAGACAGAGAAGTGCCTGCAGGCAGAAAGGGGAAGGCGAGAAAAGACGTTGTGATGATTGTACCAATAAATTGGCATTCATTTTACATTTATCCCCCTCCTACTATTCTTCGTTCATTGTGTCGACGCTTTGTCGACTCGGCTACCCCGTTTCCATAATATCCATATTCATATTATTCATTTTTTCTATTAATTATTATTATTTTTTAATAACATAACAGGTCCTTATGGTCCTGGCTCTTTTCCATTCTGTAAATCCATATTCAATCTTTACTATTCTTGAAGCATCCTTAGTTTCATGCCTGATGTTGGCATCGAGAGCGTCTCGGATTCCAATGCACGACGAGTCCGGGATTTCTGGACCGACAGAACAGATGACCCCAGAAAATCCAGGTCTGGACGTCCGGCCCAGACATTTGGGCCTCAGGCACCGGGTAGCCTAGCTTTGGCTATACGACAGTGTAGGCCCGCCTGCCCTGAGAGGGAGACTGATAAGGATGAAGAGGAGGGAAAGCCAGAGGCTCAGACCGGGAAGATGCTGGCGAAGAGGCAGGGGGAGAAGGGGTACGAGGCGGTCGAGATGCTGGCGAAGGAGGGTACAATGACAACAATGGGTCCCTTTCGATAACCCAGCCCTTTCAGAAACCCAGCACAAAAATCTCCCAGATGGATACGGTCAACCAGTGATGCCCGTTTCTTTAAACCATCGATCTGCCCTGTGGTCGCTGTCATTCCAGACCTGATACAAGCACAAAGCAACAACGACAACAACAACAACAACAACAACAAACAAAAAAAAAAAAACGCACAAACACAAGTCATAAATGGGTACCGGTTAGTGTGTTCCGAGTAAAACGACAGAAATGGTTTCGACGGGCCGAGACGACATTTTCTGCTCCTAAGCTCTAACACGTCTTCTTACACAGAACACCGCAGGCACGGCACGAAAGAAGGAAGAGGAAAAGAAAGCACAAGAGAATCGCAAAAGCAAAAAAAAACAGCAGGCTTTCCCATCCAGACATTGCACATTTCTCGGCACCAACGCCATTAGGGTGGGGCGCATCCACATTACTGTCTTCTCCCCAACACAATGCAGTTGTACGCACGCTGATCATGACTGTATTGGACCGGGAAAGACAGCGTGCAAAACATTCATGATCTGGGTGACTTGTGTTCTGGGAAAGAAGGGGAGAGTTGGAACCATGGCATGCTGACCCACAATTTCATTTCTGTTCGAGTTGTTTTGCTGGAGTGCTGGCAGTAGGATTTGGTCCCATGCCCTGTAGAGCTAGAGATAGTGTTTTCAAAAGTAGAACATCCCATGCCCTGTACGGCTAGAGATAGTGTATTCAGTAGTTAACGATTCCAGGATTTGAGCACGGGCCCGAGTTTAAACAAACAAGTATGCTTTATAAATGTAGCTTAGGCCAGCCAGGTTGTTTTCTTCTAGTGCGCTTCAGGCATTTGACACTGGCAAACAACCTGCCCCTACATAGGGCAGTGCAGCTCGACAAAAAGCGAGAGTGAGTCGCTGAGTTTCACTTTGCTGCACTTCGATGCTCTACTAACTGGGAAGCATTTTTGACTGTCGCCAGTGTCGCATACCCCGACGGTCGGCGGCCCTTGACTGGTGCTCTGCTGACCAGCCGACCGGTCGGCTGGTCAGCACCTACCGGTCGGGAGCCATCTGCAACCTGCAAAAAAAAAAAAACAAAAAAAAAAAAAGGTCCACAACTCCCACTAACCTCAGGATCACCCCCATATCCACCACCAATATCCCCATACACCCCCCCTCACCCCAAAATCGCCACCCAACACCCTCATACCCCCGCCCAATACCCTCTATGCCACCCCTATACCCCTTCACACGCACACACTCACAACCAGACTCCGACACAGAACTCGGACTGGTAAAATGTGTCAGCAGACTCAGTACAAAGGACATAGCCAAAAAAAAAGAAGAAGAAAAAAAAGGTCCAGTACGAGGGACGAGGTCCAGGGACCGAACGAAGGCAAGATATGTAGCAGACCCTGTAAGAATGGGTAAAAGCTGGTGAAGAAGGCCCTTAGAAAAAAAACTTCTCACTTCGTCATTCCAATTTCAGCGGATGTCCCTGAAAGGACATCCGTTAAGATTGGAACGATACAGCGAGCACGTATTTCTAACGGCCGCTGCGCAAGGATGACACGCATGAAACAAGAACTAGTCCAAATTAAACAAAAAAAAGGGAGTAAGTAAAACGGAGGAGAAGAATAAACTTCTCACATAACCGTGTAAAGCACTCATGCGTTATAAGAGATGATACAACACGTAAAACCCAACAGAATCAGCCCAACTGCTGGCCCAGCAACAGACACAGACTGCAGACTTTGTCAGACTGGACCATATCAGATGCCAGTGCGCAAGTCCCTCATTTCCTCCTTTTCTTTTGAATGATCGTTCCCCTTTTTTAAACAAAAAAGGGAGTGTCATATCAAATAGAAAACATGAACACACGTGCAAATCACACACCAGGTCCATTACTCTACCAGGAATGTTCCTTGGTTTCCAACACTCCGTCTCTCTCCCAAGACGCACCGAAGAGCTTCTTGGGGGAATCTAAAACGGCAGAGATCAACCCTGAGACAGCAGCCTGTACCCGCATGACTCGTTGCTGGATGTCACACAGATCAAGAGTTCGAACTTTGAAAAAACAATGTGGCAACCCCTTTTCCAAAGGAAGACTCGGAAACAGCAGGTTAGATCATTAAGAAGCACTGAGAACAGAAAACAGAAAACAGAAAAAAGGTATGTGACCAAGAATTCCTCGACATCTCAACCCGGCGAGTACTCGGTCCCTCAAACCATCGAGCAGTTCTTTTAAGAAAAGAAAAGAAAAAGAAAAGAAAAGGAGAAGAAGAAGTTATGTGCACCTTTCAGAGAAAGAGAGAGGGTCTGCTAAAGAGGGAAAGGAATGAACGCAAACAGAGGACAAGCAGCTGGATAGACAACAGTGAAACAGGAGGAGGAGGAGGAGGAGGAGGAAGAGGAAGAAGAAGAAGAAGAAGAAGACGAAGAAGAAGAAGAAGAAGAGGAAGAAGAAGAGGAAGAAGAAGAGGAAGAGGAAGAAGAAGAAGAAGACGAAGAAGAAGAAGAGGAAGAAGAAGAGGAAGAAGAAGAGGAAGACGAAGAGGATGAAGACGAAGAAGACGACGACGACGAAGGAGATGGAGAAGGAGGAGAAGGAGGAGGAGGAGGAGAAGGAGACGACGACGACGGAGGAGGAGGAGGAGAAGAAGAAGAAGAAGAAGAAGAAGAAGAAGAAGAAGAAGAAGAAGAAGAAGAGGAGGAGGAGGAGGAGGAGGAGGAGGAGGAGGAGGANAAGAAGAAGAGGAGGAGGAGGAGGAGGAGGAGGAGGAGGAGGAGGAGGAGGAGGGAGAGGGAAAGGGAGGAAGAGGAAGAGGAAGAGGAAGAGGAGGAGGAAGAGGAGGAGGAAGAGGAGGAGGAAGAGGAGGAAGAGGAAGAGGAGGAAGAGGAAGAGGAGGAAGAGGAAGAGGAGGAAGAGGAAGAGGAGGAGGAGGAAGAAGAAGAAGAAGAAGAAGAAGAAGAAGAAGAAGAAGAAGAAGAAGAAGAAGAAGAAGAGGAAGAAGAAGAAGAAGAAGAAGAAGAAGAAGAAGAAGAAATTGTTATGTGCATCTTTCAGAGAAGCAGGGAGGGTGTGCTACCAAGGGAAAGAAATGAAGGGAAAGAGAGGCCGAACAGCTGGAAAGGTAACAGCGAAACAATGGAGGAGAGAGAGGCCGAAGGAAAGACACAGAACCATACAGGGAGAAGACAAGACAGACGAGGGGGGGAGGAGGGAGATGATCAGGTAGAAAGGCAAAGCACGATTAAAACTCTGGTAGATGAAGAAACATAGAACTGCCCCAGGTATTCAGGAGAGACTGCAAAGGTCGAGCATCAAGAAGACAAAGCGGAAAATTATGTTGGACCATTTCTCGATTTATGCGTGTCATACTTGCGCAGGGGACTTGCTAATATTCTCTCTCTGTATCGTTCAACGGATGTCCCGAAGGACTGTGCCTTTAGCTTATTCATTCCGGGAACCTTCCAAAAGGAAAACCATACTCACTTCTGCAGCAACTCAAAAGCCGCCTTCCCCTGCCTACTATTCTCCAAGAGGCCCTGTTATCACAAGGCCAGAGTACAACATGGCACCAAGGAGCACACAAAATATGTGGTCCCGTAAAACGGCCGTCAGATCAAGAGCACGCACTCAAAAGCGATGATGGAAACGCAAAAACGAGGCAAACAGCCATAGCTCAGTTGCTACACCTATGAACTATTGAAATACAGACCCAATGTTCGAATCCAGATACAATCAGATGAACAGAATAAGATATTTCGGAATTGCCCGCGGGCCCGATCAGTTCAGTGATGTTATCTCAAGGCCGTCGCCTCTTTCAAAAAGAGGCACGAACTGTAAACCCCTCCTGTTGGGTGATTGTTTGTTGACACCAACAAATGAAATGCCATCAACAAATGAAATGACATTTTTGCCTCAGCTCTGTACCGAAGAAGAACATCGACAAGGAAAATGATTTGAACTCATGACCTCGTCAATACAGCTCTATGCTACTGTCCTCCTTGGTTGATTGTTTGTTGACATGGCCCTCAAGGCGTTGTAATTGGCAGCGAACTTCTCCCAGGTCGTTTACCGAAGGGGAAGAGCCTATCGGCAAACGAGGGCGGTCGCCTGCCCATTGCCTTCAGGGTGAGATCCAGGGCATGTGCTGTCCAACCCACAACAAGATGTCTTCTCAGACATTCCCTATGCTCTGTGGGGCAGCCACGTACGCCCTCATATAGTACGTACTGGTTTCACTAGCCCACAAGGGCGACAATTGAAGATTGGCACTCTTCGGTCCCATAAAAAAAAAACACTGACACTCCTTAGGCCCGACAAAGAAAAAACAATGAGACCCTTTCGCCCAAACCATTCACCTTAGGAGATCGCCGAGAGTAAAAGAGAAAGGAACACAATGAGGAGGAGGAGGAATGGGAGGAAGAAACAAACTGTATTTGACTATAATGCAATAACACAAGTCACACAACAACAATACCATAATACAATAGCACAATTATACAGCACAATAATACTATTTAGTACATAGCACATACGACATTGTAAATAGATAGCACACACAATTACAATCTGTCACAACCCCTCCTTTGTTGTCCTCTTCTCCGTCTCTGCCTACAGTTCACCAAAAGTGTGAGACATACCCGGTGCTCGAGGTGAACGGCATTGGCCAAGATATGCTCGTACGTCGTGAAGCTGTTGACGTCACCAGCGGAATTGTAGATAGGCTAGATAGGATCTGTCATTCGTGGTCTGGGCGCTGAGCGCCAGATGGGGATTCGGCATTGGTTCATTGTTGATGATGATGAGA